GCAGCTAGAGTTCTCACAAGACCCCATACATATCAGCACATCACTCCAGTTCTGTTCTCGTTGCATTGGCTCCCTGAGGTTTTTAGAATTGATTTAAAAAATGTATTGTTTGTTTTTAAATCCCTGAACGGTCTTGCACCATCAAATCAATCCAAGCTTCTTACCCCCTGCATCCCCTCTTACAATCTCAGATCCTTAAATCTGTTCTTACTTTCCATCCCAGAACTCGACTGGTGACAGAAGGAGGGAGGGCTTTTATGGTCAGGGCTCCTAATTTCTGGAATGCTCTTCCTCTAAATGTTAGACAGCCCTCTTCATTGTCTTTTTTAAATCATTAGTTAAAACTTACTTGTTTAACAAGGCTTTTAATACTTGAATTTCTTTCTTGTTTGCGTTATTTTAATTGATTTGGTGTACTTTTGTGTTTCTGATGTCATTTATGATGTTTTAATTGATTAATGTGAAGCACTTCGTAACATTTGTTTGAAAGGTGCTATACAAATAAATTATTATTATTATTATTATTATATATACTACGGCATACTTTGTATTTATATGTATATGTACATGGAATACAGTTTTGTTTTGTGTTAAGTCAGCTGTTGCTGGTCAGTGTGTGTCCTGCGGGTCTTATTCCGGACCCCAGGCCCCACCTCCAGCCGCGGAGGCACCCAGTTCACCCCTTCCTCAGAAGTGGTAAACCACACTATCAATAAATCAAGGAAACATGAATTGGATTGGATTTTACCAATTATATTAAATCAAGGCAGGAAAAAACAAAGTAACAGTGCTGGCCTCTCCGATACAATTTGACGCAAGATCAGGAACCGGAAGGGCCGGATGTCCCGTGGCATTACAGATTTATAGGGCCTAGACTCCTCCTTCGCAGTAGGAGAGCACAACCGGTCCCCTGTATGAGGGGGAGTGACTAAGAGTGATCTCAAGGGATCTTAACCGGTTTAACGTGAAGGAACAAATGAGATGGGGCTTCAAAAGCCTTTCTATGTGATGTAGCGAGGAAAATAAACTACTCCTTGAAGGACATTGAATCCGTGGGAGACTTTTTTTTTAGAGTTGCTGGCCCAGTTTAACCCAGTCAGAACCGGGTCATAATTCCATTGTAATCCCGTCTCTGAGCAGATCAAAAAAACAGGGCCAGTCTAGATAAATGTACCAACAATAGAGATGATTTTGGTTCAAAATTTGAATTCTGCTTTAGTTT